GGGTGGAATTTTCCAGTGCTCATAAATAGGACCAACTGGGTTGCTAAGAGAGGTTACCATGGAAACAGTCACGTGTGTCTGCCTCCTGGTTATTCCAACCTGGCTGGAGGCCCAGGACACAAGCTCCAGGCCTCTTCATTGGCTGCCACTTTTCCTCTTGCCACTGAAATCTAGCAGAAGATTGGCCAAGTGGAGCGCAGTTGCTGGGCTGGAGTTAGACCTTCCCCACCCCCACCAAGAACCTGCTGGAAACTGTTGTTTTGAACCCGAGGAAGATGGAAAATTGGCTGCCAAAGATGTTGTCATAGCAACTGCTTTTCTTTTTGCCCTCCCTGGAGTTAGTAGTCGACTTCTTTGTAGTTGAAAGACTTTTCTAGAGGCAGAGGGGGTGTCCGCCATTTTACACTAACCTGACCTTCTTTTGAAGAGGGGCACCTTCATCTTCCAGAGGAGTCAAGGAATTTCTGAGCCTCTACTTATGGCTTTAGTTACCAGTCCACCCCCGGGGGCCTTAGTTTCCTTTTGTGAAATGGAACATTAATTCCAGGACTCAGTGCCTTCTAAGGCTAGAGTGAGGCTCCCACTGGACCAAGTTTGCAAATGCTCACTATAAACTGTAAAACTCAGTACACTCACCCTGTGGTGCACTTGCCATGTGTCTTTGACTGGCAATGACATTAGCTTAGGGTGTAATGGCCCCATGAGTTGGGCCCCACTCCCCACATACTTGTTTAGCAAAACCCAGAGCCCCAGGCCCCAGGGACCCTTTGAGGTCTACTTCCTCTTCTGCCACCAACTGGCCTCTGGTACCACCAGCAGTTCACATAGCCCCCCAGGGACTCATTTTCTCTTTCTGTAAAAGGATTCTTCTGTAGATGATCTCAGGAGGCCCATTCCAGCTCTGAACATTTCATGATCTTAAATGTCTGCCTGCTTTCTTCTATAAACTTGTGGTGTGGAACTATCATGCCCACAGGAGGTAAAAATACGGGTAACTGCCCTGTACTGAGCACTTCCTATGTGGCAGGCACTGCACACGCACTAACTCAATCTCCACAGCAGCTTTAGAAGGCAAAGACCTTCATTGTGGCACCTTCCCATTTCACAGATGAGGAAACAGGTCATGCAGCCAGCAAGCCGTAAGGACAAGATTTAAAGCCTGGTGGTCTGACAGCAAGTCCATGAAGCCATCTTTCCAGGCATCGCTAAAATGAACACGAAAATGGCATGCGTCAATCCAGAGTGACTAAGATGTTGGGTGGAGCCAACCCTGGACTATCAATCAGAAGCCCTGGGTTCTTCTCTAGGCTCTAGGACTAAGTCACACTGTGTCATCTCTAGCAAGTCACTTTGCCTCACTTGGCCTCAGTTTTCCCATCTGGAAAAATAAGGTTGTGCCAACTCTTAGAATGTTTTTCTAGGTTAAACATTCTTGAGTTTTGAGAGAAATATTGGCCCAGAGAAGACAAATGACAGCCTTCCCTAGTCACAGAACAAACAAATACAGCCTCAAATGGCCTGGCCGCTAGCTTTGATGTCAACCCTTGAAAAACAGGAGGTTTGGGAAGGATTGTTTGAAGCTGTGGCCCACAGGCCATGGTGTGTCTGCTGTGATTTCTCCAGAAAACAAAATACGTTCCATTTAAGACTGACCTTTATTCAGAGATTAAGCCCTTCCTGCATCTTTGATGTTATAAAGTCCTTTTACTTACTGATGGTGATAGTGGATGGTAGTTACTTTGTCGCAACCTTATTTTGGAAAAGTTGGCTAATTGGCAAAGGTTGGCTAACCTTATGTCAATATATACAATTTTAAAAAATGTTTTATTATGAAAAATTTCAAACGTAAAAAAGTAATAAGGCCACTTTAGTGAAATCCCCTTGTTACTAATCCCCCAATACCCCGTGCCCTGGATCATTCGGAAGGAAATCACAGACATCAGAGAAACTCCTCATAACCATAACATTTTAAACATAACCACCTTAGCATTTTCACACTTAAAAAATTAATGATATTTCTTTAATATTAATCTTCATATATATTTTGTCTCACTTTTTTCGGCTGTTTTGTTCAATCGAGATCTAAACAGAGCCCACGCAATTTCTTTCTGTTGATACTAATATACCATAGGTTTCCGGTCCCGACCTTTTTCCTCCCTGTAATTTATTTGCTGAAGAATCAGACTTGTTTGCCCTTGGAATTTTACACATTGTCAGTTTTGCTGATCACATCCCTCTGGTGTGGTGTACCATCCTTCTGGCCCCTCTGCATTTCTTATAAATAGCTGATTAGATCCAATTCGGGCTCCTTTTTTTTTTTTTTAACAAGAATATTTTATAGATTGGAGACCACCTAGGAAGACCAGGTGCTGTGGGCATAAAAAGTAAAAAATAAAGGATTGTAAGCTGACAGGGTCCTTGCAATCTATGAGGTCAACCAAGAGTTGCCTTGCCTATAAAAAAAAAGAAAAAGGAAAAAATAATATTTTATAGTCGGTGTTGAAAACATCCAGTTAAAATTATTAGCCGTGTAAACCAAAAAGCTGGGAGCCACTGCTCTGAAGGGAATTCTTTGGTTCTAGGCCCCATCCCTGAATCTAGCCAGAGCCCCAGAATACGCCTTGCTCAGACCTGCAGAGCTGCACGTGCTGTCATTCTCGGCATCCCACTCACTGCCGGTGTTGCAATGTCCTGGGCACGATGCCTTTAGTTAGGAAAACTGCTGTCGGCAGCCACCACATCTCTACATGAAGACCTGAGAAATTTCTTATAACTGTCAGCAAAAAGTTGGCTTTCCTCAAGAAACTGGGATGCTTTTC